ATAAGAAAAGGGAAAGAGAGAGGGAAGAGAGGAAGAGAAGAGAAGAGAAGAGAAGAGAAGAGAAGAGAAGAGAAGAGAAGAGAAGAGAAGAGAAGAGAAGAGAAGAGAAGACCAGGAGAACTTCATCCAAAGTAGCTTTAAAAATAAGTTTGACATCTGAAGAAAAAGGATAGGGGATTGAAACTGCAGATAAAATCTGGCCAGTACTTTTGGTTTTATTAATAATGCATGATACTCTAATTGTTTTATGTTTAGGAATATGCCTAGTGATATCTTGGAAATCCCAAATAGAACATTATTTTCCCTTGCAGGAGGGCTGTATGTACTCAGATGATGCAGGTTGTCTTTCTTGCTTTTCCAAACTCTTCATGAACCTGCATCAGAGCTTATAAAAGTGCTGCTGAGTCAGAACAGTCTTACCTAAGAGTCACAGTGCACTGACTTTTCACAGGCAGAAATAACTTCCCATAATATATGGCACCCAGAAATCAGGCCATGGTATTACAATTTCTTCATATTAATAAAAGGTGTGTTTTGTATTCCATTATGGTTATTTTACCTTTGACATCTAACCTCTGGGTCAGTGTGCTCTTTATAACATTTCTTCTTCAGTTTTGTTTCTATATTTAGAAAAGTTATACTCTGAAAGAAGATTTTTTAACTTAAAAAATTATATTTAATCTAGCTCAGAAGTTTTGATGTCTCTCTGCAACCTATAGTTTATTCTTCCAACTCAGATAATGTATTGTTATTGTATTGCTTTTACCATAGTCAAAGAAATACATTGCTTTTCAAAGGGTATTTTAGTCTTCAGCAAGTTCTTCACTCTCTCATATGCAGTCCTTAAGTAGTAAAAATACAGCCACTTTCATTGTAAATAATATTAGTTTTCTCTCTGTCTCTTCTCTTGTAATTTTTTCTCTCTCAGTATTTTTGGCAATGGAGATGAAACAAATACCCTTCACTGACAATCCAGTGTACAATTCTCTGGATGTAAGCAGGAATGCAGAGAGCTCTAAGAACAGCACATTTGGTTCCTAGGGTGCAAGTGGAGCTCAGAGACACAGCATGTCCCTCCCAGACAATGGCTGTTTATCACCTACGTACCCCCAACAAAGCAACTTTTTCAGCTCTGTTTTGGTTCTCAGCATTTCACACACAGAGAAATCAGTGGGCAGTCCTGCCCCTCCTCCCTGAGACTCCCGAGTTTTAACTCAAATCAACTTGGGCTTTGAAACGAAATAGCCACCCAAAGGTTTTATTGTATTCCAGCCTGACTTAAACTGTGAACATCACCGGCTGCTCTTCCTACCTTCAGGGAGGAGGGGATTCCTCCTTCCCCTGCACAGAACCCTGTGTCTGTCCTTACACTGGAGGAACTGACAGAAAAGCTCTTCTGGAAGTGGGATGTTATTATCAGCATTGCTGAAGGCAGAATTGGGCCCAGCGTATCTGACATTCGAGAATAGCAAATCTACAAGTACAAACTATTTAGACATGAAAATCAGGGAGATGCCCAACAAGTCAACCTGCCTGGGCAAATGCAGCTTTTCGTGCACCCAGAAACAGCCAATAAAGTCAAGTGGTGAAGCTTTACACCTGAAAACAGTGTGTGATAGTTCTGGAGACTATCTTTGACTCTGGCATTAACTACCATCTTTATATTCGGGATTTATGAGTCCGGACCTTTGAGTATAATTTCACTCACAGGCATCAGCCCTATAGGAATAAAATGAAAACCTGCTCATAGCCAGGGAGCAATGTTAGCCTCACCAGGCTTTGCGCTATCACGCAATGCAAACTGTCAGCACCTCAATCAATACCCATCCATGCTCAGCAATAAAGATAGTGCCAATAGTGCTTCAGATGGGGGAGATTAGCCCTACCAGATTCAGCAGTTGTCCAGGCAAGACAGGATCTAGGACACAGACTGATTACACTTAAAAGCTACATCACTAACAACAAAAATGGTAGAGCTGCGATGCACCAGCAGTAACTCTTTTGGAATGTGGAGTGTTTGCTTTAATGAAACAGTGAAACAACAGCAAAACGCTCATTCTGGGTCTACGGCTGCTGCTCTGTTCTCCATGTTGCTGTGGCCGCTACAAGGATCAAATTTCATGGTTTATTATTCTCCCTCCAACTGGCCACCATCCACATTCTTCTTCTGTACAAAGCCGCACCTCTCGCTCCAAAGAAGAGAGACCTACGCCTTGTTTTTATAAATTTTAGTTACATTTGCAAACACACACAGAGAGGAAGGGGATGACCTTTAAGCACTAAACATTTCAGAGAATGCTGTTATTCTTCTCTGAGCAAATTTCTGTGAGTTCGGCTAAAAAGGGGCAATTTTCCACACGAAAATTTACTAACTTTTGAGATGCAGAAGTTGTCTCCCCTGTGTTCTGAATCTTTAACATTGTGCCTTTTAATGGAACAACTGCTCTATGCTTGAAAAGTCCTATTCATCACTTGCCTCAGAAGAGAATTGGCACTGAAATTCTGCAAAGCTCAAATTCAGCTCTGGATGCACTGCTGGAAATCAAAACCACAGTCACTGGGGCTACTTCACATTATGGAGCAAGATTGGTACAGAGCAGGTGGGGTCCAAAATTCAGTACCAATCTCTCAATGTAAATAAGAAATTTATTGCAGACAAATAACAGATCTCCATGCTAGATTCCAAGAAATGTAGTATCTCAGACTCAAGGATTCCTACACAGAATAATTTTCCTATGTAATGTTTCTTTTAATTCAGCACTCAGGATCCATTTTCCTCTGTGAGATTTGCAGTAAAGTTATCAAAACCTTGCAAAATGCTCCACTCTTGAACATCCACCGTCTTTCTTCAGCAACTCAACAGACTGTAAAACTGAAGCACTGTCATCTGGTGTGTAATTATTGTCTTCCCTGTAAAATGAGGAAGGCACCATAAGCTTACCTAACTAGTCTGAAAATGTAAAATGCTCATCACCTGTAATCATTGTCTTAACTGTCCCTGATCTTTATTGATAGCATCAAGATTATAATAACTCTCTCTCTGACAATGAAAATCAGCTGAAAATGCAGCACAGGCAGAGCATCAGGAAACTTGCTTGAAGAAGAAATATTTTTGCCAATTAGACAGGCTCACTTCAGGATTCTACTTTTTTTTGTGTCTAATCAGTGATGCAAGGGGTTCAGAGGTATAAGACTAAAATGCAAAGCAGAGAAAACCAGGGCATAGAAACCTCAGGAATCCAACAAGGATGTTCCAACTTCACCGACTCAGTGGTGAAGCAAAAAAAAAATAACCTCAAAGGTTATGGACGTATGATCAAAAGTGATCATGTCACTGTGGTTAACAACTTATTAGTCCTCATGCCAGATACAGGAAAACACCATGAATGTATTCTTCACCCACACTTGCCTCCAGAGTAAAACATCCGGTGGGCAGTAATTAATGGAACTGCTGCACTTTGCTGCTTTTCGTCATGTCTATCCACAGGCCTGGATCCCAACCAGGAAGACTCTCTACTCTCTGTTTAATCTGGGTCCCACCGGACACAAGCAGGGTCCTCTTGTGCTTAAAGCAAAAAACTGCTCTAGATCTTTGTTGAATAAGGGGCCTTTCACTGGTAACCCTTTAAAGAGCACTAGATGTGCCCCATTGTTGCCTGTTCTACATCTGCATAAGCAAATTCAGTGAGCCACCAGTTCTTCCCTGCTGCCTGCTTTAGGCTACTGCATGAAGTAAGGGAGAATGGAGTGCGCACAACTCGGAACAGAGCGAGTTGATCCTGAAGCGGCACAGTGGCAATGCGCCTCACTGACTTACCACTCAGAAGCTGATATTTAGTAACTGTCCCCTATTTCTCATTGCTATCACAGGACATTATGATATTTAGTTACACCAGTGTTAACACCAAGATTGATGAAATCCCCCTTTTAAAGAACCAGTCACTTTGAAGGGAAGAAGAGCAAAGAAGACCTGGCTCTAGAGTGCATTTCATACTTCAGCTTTCAGGCAGATCCCAGTAGAATTTCAGCGATCAGTCTCTGCTTTGCTGGGGAGAAGTGTCTCTCTCAGTCCTTCCCAAGTTGCTGATGAAGTGACTGTGTGCACAGCTAAGCAGCCTGGAAGAATCTTACAAAGTGTTGGTTCAGCCTAAGAAAGCGCTTGGTTTGATGCTGAGATTCAGTTCTTTCCAACTATTTTTCCAAACGAAAAGATGTTTATTCCTCACAGCCAGGCTGCTCTCAGACCCAGTTCCTGAGCCCTTCCCTGCTCCCAGGACCCTGTTCACAGTACATCTCTCTCATCTAGGGTAGTAGCAGATTCACACCTCCCACTAAGTCTCACGGAGAAGGTCGCTGGACAGAAACCAGCCTCACTTTCGCTAGCTGCATTTTTGCATTTACCAGCTTGATTGGTATCACAGATCACCATGGGTGGGGAATGGCCCTCATCCAAAGCAAGAAATGGCTTCTGGCAAATCCTAGTAACAGGTATTTCAAGTCTGCCTCTTTGCTATTCAGGAGCTGTACTGTTTGACCTGCTGTCCATGAAGGACAAATTCTAACTTCACTTCTCACCCCAGTTGATCTTTTCTAGCCTCAGAAGCATAACACAGAGATGAATTTGTTGAAGAGCTCTAACACAAAAAGAAGATATTCCCTCTGAAAAGATAACATGAAACATGCAATGAGAATATCTCTGGAGCTTATAATACAAGAGACTATCACAAATACATGTAAAAAAATTATTTTAAAATAGCACAAAGTTCTCCACCAAGCTAAAACAGGCAATGCATAGTGGAATGATGGTACCTTCTTAGTTGAATAAATAAATAAATGTACTCTGATAACACCAGAGATTGTTACTGCCTTGTCCATGCACTGTGCACATCTCAGAAATTTAGTGGCATTGCATTTGAAACACAAATGGAAAAGCAAAAATAAGAAAATAAATGACTTGGTATTTTCACATAAGCCATGTAAGATAGAAGACAGGTTCTCACCTGTCTGCTTTGAGATGGCAGTGTGGCAGCCGGCATCTGTCTCTGCATCCGATGTGGCTGCATTAGTTGTCGGAACTGCTGCTGGAGAAACTGGCTGTTGTTGGTCTGTTGGGACTGCTGTGTGGTTGGAGACTGCTGCTGCTGCTGCTGTTGCTGCTGCTGCTGTTGAAGATAGTGAATGAGGGACTGCTGTCCTTGTCCTGCTGTCAGAGGAGACATTTTTTGAGTAGCTGGCTCTGAGGCAAAGTGAGACAGTGGTTTGGTGTTGTTGAAAGAAAACTGGTCTTGGTTAACAGGGCTCTCATTCACCAGACCTGGCTGTAAGCTACTGGATGGCTGTTGCATAATTATGTTCATATTTTTGGTCTGATTTGAAGTCATTGATTTAAAAAGCGAGTTCTGCATACTCGAGTTCTGCATGCTGGTGGGAGTGATGTTAGAGATTAATGTACCTTGAGGACTGAAGGGCTGCTGATGCAGAGCAGGGCTTGACAGCTTTTCTGGCCTGTATGGTGGAGAAGGTCCAGTATTTGTGGAGGCCATACTGGCAACCAAGTTGTTCTGTGGGCTTTTAATGCTGCTGGCTGGCAAGCTGGCTGCTGTCAGAGAAGGCAGCATGGAGCTCTGAGGGCTGAAGGGCTGCTGGCTCAGAGCTGGACTGGAGAGCTTCTCAGAGCCATAAGGGGGAGAGGGGCCATTGGATGGGGTACTGCTGGAAGTCATGCTTGAAAGTAGAGTGTTTTGAGGACTCTGAATGTTGTTTCCCGGTAAATTATTAGCAGGCATGCCGGACACTATAACATTTTGAGGACTGAAAGGTTGATGGTGTGGGGATGATCCTGCTCTGTAAGGTGGAGAGAGACCAGGAGGAGACATAGTAGGCCAGCTGGGAGCCTGTACTTGCTGTTTGGTTCCAGACACCTGCTTGCTGGCTGCCAGCTGCTTTAGCTGCTGAGCATGCCAGTTGGAGCCAGGCATGTTGGGCAAGGGTACTGGAAGCAATGGTGGTGGCTGGTTTTTGTTCTGAGCTGCTGTAGAGATGGGTGATGCAGCGGGTTTGTTTGAGGGAGGAACTTGGAAGTTAGCTCCAGCAGATGATGGTCTCATCTGAGGGGATCCTCCACTGGCTGGATTGCAGCCTGGAGAAAAATCTTTGTTAGCAACATGGTTCTCCAAGTGGGATGTCTGTGGGGAGGACTTTGGAGTTGTACTTATGTTTGGTTGGGAATGACTCAGACCAAGTTGATCTTCAGCCTTGCTGCACAAAATCTTTTCCAGATCCAGGTCATTGGGAGAAGGATCAGGCATTTTGGTCAGCTCTTCCAATAGATCTTGCAGCTCTTGGTCCACAGACTGTAAGCTGTTTCCTTTCTCATCATAATGGACAATGTTGTTGGTTTGCCCTTCTATTGACCCCTTCTGATTTATTTCTGTGTTAGGTGGCACTAAGAACAGGGAGCCAGTGCCACCACCATTCATGTGATTGTTTTCGAGGAGCACTGGATGCCCTGCAACTCCCAGGGAAGAAGTGCTGTGACCAGTGGAGAATGAAGAACTTTGCATTTCTGGACATGCCATGCTGGGATTGGCACCTTGGCTCATGGCAAGGTTTACATTGTCAAGACAAAGTCTTTTACTGTCATTTGGGAAAGTGACATCAGGCATGCCACTGGAGGCAGGAGAGCTATCATCTTCCAGTTTTCTTTTGATGGATCCCTGTAACTGTGAAAATATAAAAGGAAGATGAAAGAATCTATTATTGACCACATTCTGACATGCACTGAAGCTCCACTGGGTTGGAGATAAAAAATGTTAAATCATACAATTAAAAAGGCAATCATGTGAGACAAATTCAATCAGGATTTAAATGTGTGCAACTTCACCAAAATGAAGAGTTATAGTCAGACAAAAGATAAATCTCATGAGTTGGATTTAAAACAGATGTTAAAGCTACAAAATACTGTCTGTCATGTGAACTGTAATAGAAGTTTTTAAAATAGTTTCTGGTTACATTTCAATTAAGACATTATACTCCCTGCATAACAAACATGTCAACATTTTATGACAACATTTTTTAGATCTAAATGGCAAATCTGAATGAAACCCTGGGCTGAATTTAGTGACCTTCTGCTAGTGACTCGAATTAAATTCAAACGTGAGACAATTAAATTGTTTTACATTTTTAATAGGCCAAGCATCTGAAATAACTAGGATACTTTCTAAACAAACCAAACCAAAACAAATTTTCAGCTATCTATCTAAACAGACTTTCAGACTTCCTAATCACAGATGTTTCAAATTCCAGAAAGAGTAAGTAACAGCTAAACTTATTAATTTTTGTTTATTCTTCTGTCTAAGGCATTGTGAACTTCATTCTTTTGAAGGATTACCGTTCATTCATAAAAATGGATGTGTTTTCAAAATACAATTATATTAATATCTTGATCTACAAGAAATCATGAAGTAGCAAATTCATAAATCTTAGGGAAAAGAAACCTCCCTTCTACATATAAAGAAAGTGAAACTGAAAACAATGCTTCTCATACTATTCCAAGATATGGCAATCTCTTCCACATAAAATCATCTATGGCTTTCAATTTTAACAAGCATGACCTATATGTCACAGGATTAATCAGACCTTAACATTGCTGCTTCAAGTTAAGGGAAATAAGCATTATGACCTTGTTTATCAATAGAGGGAAGCAGTAGGTAGAAAAGTATCTGATCAGCAATGGGAAAATTAGAGAACACTGGTTCCTCTAAGCCAGCTCCCAGCAAAGCCTCTCCCAGCTCTGGGCTACAAGTCCATGTGCTTCCCATCATGTAGTGCTATAAAAAAAAATCCCATCTCATAAAAGCTCATATCACCATAAAAGTTCCCCCCACCAACCCCAGCATAACCAGATCCACTCTAGGGCTATGCTGCATATGACCAACTTCTAAACTTTACATTCATTTTTAAACACATCACAATTATGCCTCAGTTACTGCACAACTGGAGTTTTCAGACAACAGTGTCACAGCACTGTCATCACAGGGTGTGTGAAGGCTGCAGGGCACAGGATGGGCACACCATGTGCAGCTCCTTCTGCACTGTGCAAACAGCTGATGTCCACCTCTAAATTCAGCCTATCTTCAGGAAATCGCCCACAAACATGTATGTCTCTGACCTGGGAATATGGCAAGGCTGCCTGGTGGATCACTCAGCTGGTCTCACACCTCTCATCACTTACTTCTAAATTGGTGGACAGAAGGGCAATGGCAGATTTGTGCCTAGAGTTGCTGAGGGTGTAGATGCAGTTTGGGATTAGTATCAGATATTGTCACGCTGGTATCCAGTTCACAGAGACATTTGGAAGACAGTGAGATGATACGAGCTGGTTACCCATGATCATCATGCTAGGTCTGCAGACTACAATGAGCTGCTGAACAGCTTTTTAGGAGGTGTTAATCTATCCTCCATCACCAGACACAGCAGCTTTGGCATTGTGGCAAAGAAACCTTTGGGTATTTTCTCTTTAGTCTCAAGAGTTGTCCCTTACAGAGTTATTAGTGCTTGTCTCTGGTGACCTCCAGTCACATTGCTTTAACATGGGCTGTGCTCAAAAACCACAGGTGGGGAGAACTGAGGAGAGCTGCTTCCAGTTCACATTGTCTCGTTACCTGAGAGCCTCTTTGGGCAGCAGTGTCTGTGCTGGGCCAGGATTGCTGCTGTGTGAGAGACTGTCCCAGTGTCACAGCAAGACACTGCGACACCATCAAACATTTGCTGATGAGGCCAAAATTTCCCTAGCTTTAGGAAATGGAACCAGGCCTAAATCTTCTCCCAAATGTTAGTCTAGTGATGGATGAAATTGTTTTCCTTCATTTTCTCTGCTAAAACTAAGCCAGAATTGCATGTTTCAACAGATGTTGCCCTGTGTAGGCTGAAACATGTTGGCAGAGCATAACTGAATATATTTAAAACTCAGACATGTATAGAGAGTATTTACAGGGGCTTCACTTATCCAAAAGAGAGTGTTGCATCCTGGGACATGCTGGCATGCATGTCCTTGCCAGCTCTTCCTTTGTCATAGGACATTCCTATGCTCTGAGTTACCGGGGAAAAATATGAGGTTTCTAAACACTCTAAAAATAGTTTTTTAACTGGTGCACTGGGGAATAAATGTGATGAGAAAACAAAACTTCATTTCTCCTAGACTGTTACTAGATATAAACAGATAAAATAAGGGCATAGCTTTTCAATGGCACAGGTATTCCAAAACTTGGATGGGACTTTAAAATAAGATGCTGTTGCTTAGCCATCCTGAGAAGATTTGCTGTAAGAGAGGCAGTGAAATTAGCTGGGTGTCATGTTCTCTTGAAAAGCAAGATTCCTGTTTCCCAGGTGAGTATTTGCAGAAGTACCATAAAATCCAGGAGACCAATTTCTCCCAGTGCAGGCAGGTATTACTCCACAGAATTTAGTAACATTGCTTTAGGTTAAGATAGATTTGAAGACAGATTTGACTACAGCCCCAAACTTGAGAGAGAAAGATATGCTCCTTAAAGCAACTAAACAAATCATAGAGTAATTTTGGTTTAAAGGGGCACTTGGGTACCATCATCCTTCTGCTTCAAGCACATCATCAGTGTAAAAAATAGACGATAGTTACCACGCACTGAAGCATGAAGTTTCCATTATAAACAGAAATCCCTCCTTACTCTGTCCGGGAGGTTGTTTTCAGTGTTCCCCACTGACACCTCAGTGGTTGTTACTCCCACACAGCATGCTCTGGGCTGGTGCTGGCTGTGAAGAGCCCCAGCTGCCACTGACTACTCTCCATGCACGTGCTGCTGTGGCAGTGTGTGACTAGTGCAGGGGATAGTAACAGAATTTCATGTTATTGAGACCCTGTCTGGCTCAGACATACCAACCACATTGATGGCAGAAGAGCATCAAACAAGGCACTACAACTTTTAGGACCAGGAGGTCCTGACCTCACTAATTCAAGAAGCTCTTTGTTGCAGAACATTCATTCAATACTCCCAAACATTGCAAGACTATCTCCTTGAAGCCTACCTATGCTTTTCTAGACTCTTCTTTACCAAAAATATTTTTATTATTTGCTTCCTTCATCTGGTTCCAGATTTCCCAGGAAGGACCTGATTTATTCCAACTCTTTCTCCTCTTCTTTTTTTACACAGTTTGACAAAATCAACAGAAAAGAGAACACCAAAGAACGTTATTCCCCTTTCTCTGCTGATTAGTATATTGGACAGCTCTGTTTCAAATTGAAGACCTGAGAAGTGAATGGAAATATTTTAGAAATGCATCACAAACACACACACACACACACACACACACATGCTCTCCTAAGCTGGTTGAAGGCTGCCTATGGCTAAGTATAGGAAAGCTTCATTCAGATGTGCCAGCAAGGACAAAGCAGACAAGCAACAAAGGAGCTCTTGTGACATTGTCAAAATGCATTAAAATGCACTGACATGCACAGGATAACTTCTGTTTGGGAATACCTGGGAAACAAAGGCAGCTCTCTGATTCAGGGAATATCCGATTATGAGTTCTCCATTATCTCAGGTTTGCTTTTAGCAGTGATCTCCAAACCAGCAGGCTGTCTTTCTGGGAAAGACCCAAGTCACGCAGGAGCAGCGCTGCTGGCTCGACATGGGAGCACAACCAGAATATATAATAATTGTTTACGCTCCTCTGTCCACAGAAGCTGCACAGCTGTGGTTACAAACAGCTAATTTGTCACACACTCCCTCCCCGCACCAAACTGATTCCCTCCATGTGGGCAGAATGCTCCACAGGCTTCTTTTGTGCAAGGAGGGAAAGGCAGCCTCAGCAGGAGAAACAAGTCCTAGGCTGTGCCCTCCTTGAGCCGGGGCTGCTGCAAGGGTGATTTGGGCATCAGGCACCTTCCAAACTTAGGAGGTGGGGCTGGCCTTGAGGAACTTACTATTACTCAATGAAGGGAGAAAGAAGGGCAGGAAGTGGCAAAAACTGAAGCAGAGTGATCAAATTGTTAATAAATACATACGGTGATGGTTCCATTGGATTTTAATAACCAACCACCATGGGCACCTCTGACTGGCTCCCTGCTTTACCAGCCCTCAACCTTTCTTCTCTTGTAACACATCAGCTGTCCTCAGCTGCTACTCCAGCTCTCCCTGTGAGCCAGGCTGCCCCATGGCACTTCTGCCAGCCCCTGTTAATTCTTCACCTACTACTCATGCCTTCCTTCACCTGCAAGTGGGAACCTGGGAAGGAGCAGCTGCATCCTATGCTGGAGAGCCTTGTTCCTCTAGCCTCGTATTTGGCCCCTCTACCAGAAACGAGCCACCTCTAACCAGAGATTCCTATTTAGGTCAACATACTGCAGAAATGAGAGAGGAAAAACATTAAGCAAGGTATTTCAGTGCCTCTTCCTGTGTCTGCAGCCTGTCAGAGTCAAGCAGCCTGTCAGAGTCAAGCCTTGATTTAAAACAACCTCAGGGTGCTGATTATTGATCTTCACCATCCCACTCCACTCACTGTCATGGACAGATCCAACCCACAGCAGTGATTCCCACACCTACACAGCCTCTTCAAGTGAGCACTGAGACCAATGGGATACTGCCATCCACATCCTCCCTTGGCAGCTGACCCTTTGTCCAGCAGTATGGCCGGAGGCTCTCCTGATTTAATAAATTGAAGTTTATGGATCCATGACTGGGACATT